AGGACAGGGGCACGGTCACTGCCCTGCTCCTGCTGGCCACACCATTCCTGATACAAGCCAGGATGCCGTTGGCCCTCTTGGCCACCTGGGCACACTGCTGGCTCATATTCAGCCGCCTGTCGACCAACACGCCCAGGTCCTTTTCCTTTTTTCAGACCGTCCATTTCACAGATTCACAATGTCCATTCCAACTAGCATTTTCTCCATTACAAGACACATTTGTCAGCATCAGAAAAGTACAAACTGTAGAAAATACAACTTTGGAATTTTATGCTTCCAGTATAAATGCTGCACTGGCCAAAACAAAACACCATTAAGCTACTGTAAAAATGCACAATCTCAAGACGATGTGTCTGGTCCTAATTACAATCTTACAAAATAGTAGCAAAGGATGAAGAGGTACAGATACAGAGATGGAGGCCAAGGATGTCAAAGGCATGACAGCTGCCGTGCTAATATTTAAATAGATCCTTCAAACCTGGGACTCTTCAGCCTAGAAACAAACCCAGCTGACGGACAATAAAATACACAATTGTGTCTTGCTTAACAATGATGAAAAAACCCAGCTATTCAGTTTCTTTCTTGAACAAGGATTAGGGGCATAAACCAAAAATGAACAGATCCCAAAGCAAACAAAAGGGACCACTTCTACATACAGCGTATGAATAAATCTGTTCTGCTTCACATACACAACACTAGGAGCTCACACAGGTCCAAAAAGCAGGTATAGAAATTAACTGAAGGTTGACCAGGAGGTAGTGAACACAGAGATAAAGCTTCTAGCTCTGGATATTGCTAACACAGCAAAGCTGTAGGGGCTGCTTATACCCTGGTGCACTTGCCATGCTTCTACTCTCTTCCATAGGCCGTTGTCCCAGCAGGCATCAGACAGACCTGCTATTTAATCTGTTACAGTTGCTGTTACAAAAACTGCAATACCCAGTAGAAGGCTTTTGTCTCCCAACAACATCTGTTATGGAACAGAACAAAGGTATAACGTTGGGTTGCACCACTAAAGCAGAGGTGTGGGTGCTGCAGGCGTCCAAGAACCATGTCAGACACACAACTTCAGCCCAGTTATTCTCTCTGGTTATTCTTTCTCCTCTGCATTTACTGTTTTTTACAGTTAGAATTGCATGCACAAAACTATACAAAAAGCAGGCCAGCAAATTCAAAGTCCATTCCTCACTCACCAGCCCAATATCTGAGCGATTTTTCCATAGTGCCTTCAAAGCCTTCCTGGCAACATCCTCGAACACTGGGTCACCAGTCAGGTGGCTCAAAGTGGCAAATTCCACTATAAATGTACCAATTCCAGCAGTACAGGTAACTGGGGTCTCCCCAGGGTTTACTCCATGCAGCAAGTTCACTGTTCCATATGGCATCCCAGTTGGGGTCTGAAAAGCTGAAACATAGTATTTTGGATTCACATGAGTGTTCACCATTACGATTGACAGACCGTCAAGCAAACACGTGCCTTGCATTCCACTGCACACAGGCAAGAAGAGGGACTGGAGCAATTGCAGTAACTGCAAAGAATGAAATGAGAAGTAGACTGTGATCATGGGAGGGGCAGAGAGGGCACCCCAAACTACACACAGTCCCGAGAAGGTACTGCAGATCTCTTCCACCTTGCCCAGAGCAGCAGACTGCATCCCTACTTCTTTAGCAGCACAAGAAGGGTAGTCAAAATAGAACTAAACACACTGGGCAGCAAAGCGCAAAGACCGAGCTTGTGCTTTATTCATTATTTATATTAAATATATTTCCCCTCAGCAAGCAGCAAAGAAACAGATGTGTTAAGCGCATACAACACTTGGCATGCATATATACAGCTGGTGTCATGCACTCCACATTTTCCCCGCAAGCCAAACTTATTTTGAGCTCAGGGAATGCAGGACTGGTTTATGAGTTTACACATCAGCCAGTGCCATCTTCACCAAATGCACCAGTCGCCTCACAAACTACAGCACAGCAACACAAACCAGACAAGTTCTCACCCGGCAGGAGCTTGCGAGCTGCTTCCTCTGCCATCCTGAGGAGAGGTCCAGAGCACGGCCAGCCCACTTCTACTTCGACACCAGCCTTCTTCGACAGCAAGTGAGCAGAGAGGAGACCACCCACCACTGGAAGGTGCACAGCAAGAATCCCATTAAAGGATGTGGCAGAGGAATGAAACATGAAACCAGTTCTATTTATTTGTATTTATCATGAAGCAAAGACAGTGTTTATGGAGAAGAAAAGTGAGATGGCTCATCTTTAACAGCCTAATTCAGTATACCACAAAAGAAGAGCGCTTGGTTTGTTTCTTCCTGTCTGTTTGCAATGGGTAGCAGATCTCTATCTTCCATTATTTTAGAAGCATCAGATCCTACTTGCCCCACTACACCTGCACTGCCCTGCAGACAATCAGAAAGCTAAGGGAACGAACACAAACCTCTATGAGAGGAATTCTGTCTCATTTCTTCCAGACAGCTTTGTCTTGTGTAAAGTAATACAGCGTACTTTCTTAAATTCCTTGGAGAAAAATGTCTAGGCAAGAATTCCAGTGTGACTGACAGAGGCAGGGATTTATTAGCCCTTTTCACGGGCTTGTCTACTGTCATGTAACAAATGCACAGAGAGAAATTAGTGCTGCAAAGACTGGCTCAGCAATATTTGAAAGGAGAAAGAAAAAAAGCATAACTAACAGTTTTGTTTCCTGCCAGTATCTTTTAGTTGGACAGTACTGAAGCAGTTAGGTGTTCAACCAGGCACGAGACTCCAAAGGCCTTCATGATTTTTAAGAAAAAAGACAAGTTTCACTTTATGACGCTAAAGCAAGAAATGAATAATCTCTATTCCACAACAGTATGTAAAAGAGATAGTGTACAATTTGTACTGTTTCAGTGGAAAAGACGTTTATCCCAAAGGTTAAAACCTGGCACCAGAATACTGAAACTGCCACGTTTACTTCTGTTTGTGTTGAGGCAGGAAGCAGAAAGGTGATGTGCAAAGACAAGACGAAAGCAACATTTGTTTGGGATTTTTTCTGTGTTTACGTGTTACAAATTCACTCTGAGCGCTACCTCGCGTTACCTCTGTGCACAGTTCAGAGACTCATGCAGGAAGGTAATCCAGCATAAACACCACAGGAAAAACCCACCTCACCTCGAATGTTAGTTTCAAAGACAGACGCGTTGACATCAATATCAAAATCCACCCCTTCCTGCAGTACGTTGACGACTCGCTGGAACTCGGAAACATTTCCCAAGATCTGCAGGGGGAGCGGGACAACAGAGAACAAGGCTCAGAGTTCACAGAAGAACAAAGGCGCGATTCAATGTTAGGGTCTAATTCCAGGTTTGTTTTACTATTTTGTAAAACCTCTAATTGCAAATAGTACTAAAAAAGCCACCAACTGTTTCATCACATTCCAAAATGTTTTCCTTGCACACTTGAGGTCTTTATTCCAGAGTTAGAAGGTCTCCAGCTCCCAGGGCTTGAGCAAAACCTCCATAGTGTTAATCAATTGACAACTGACCTTCTATGCCACATGAGAGCCAGGTCTGAGGGACAGAAGGGCTGGACACGTGAAGCTAACAGGATCCTGCAGGGCAATTGTGCAGGCTGCCCCCTGCCCACACAGCCACAAGGACAGCAGCAGGGCCATGGTAACATCCTATCCGGTGGCAGCAACAGGCTGTGGGCATGTGCACGTGGTTGGTGCATGAGACCCCAGGCATGGGAGGGGAGCCTGGAGATGGGAGATGGACGCTGCACGGCGCAAGCGTGAAGTTGTTGCTGAGGGCAGTCTGTGCAAGTGTGTGCCTTCGGCACGCAGCCTATAAAAGGCCACCGTCTCAGACCCCCGTGTGCGATCACCGACCCTGTGAGATCACTGAAGACCCTGTACGACCACCAACCCCTGTGTGTGATCACCCACCACCGAAGACCCCAGAAGCACAGACACCCGGGACGCCATGGATCCATAGTGGTGACTGTCTGCGCTCTCTGTCCGACCTCTTGCTTAATCTCCCATCTTTCCTTCCTTCCTTTCCTATAGCTGCTTTCTCTCTTTCCCCCAAAGATTTACGACATTTGACCTCGTTTGTGTCTTAAATCTTGCTCGAAGGGATGGAACCTGACACGAGAGGCTGGTCCAGCTGCCCCTGGCCTCCCAGACTCGCCTGAGGTCGGCTAGAGAGCAAGGGGGCCT